AATGCACCATTGGTTAGCATAAGAGACTCAAAAATATAAAAAATTCTTACCGACCTATATTTTTTTATAAACTAAAAACAATTTATTATTAAAAATATAGGAATTCTACTCAAGCTGCTTTGAGTTGCACTGTAAAAAAAATTTGAAGCTGTAAATAAAACATTATTTTATTACTTTAAAATGTAATGTTTAGTTCAATGCTAATTCATTTGCTATATTTATTATTTGTCAAAATTTACCAGCAATTTCTGAATGAAAATTGTTTCTACACCAGTTTTTTAGTCAGTGTGCTTAATATGCATTTTCATATTTTTAGGCAACTTGTAATACAGAAAGTGTCAAGCTGCTGCAGGAAAAGAAATCCAGTGTCCTACAAATACTCCAGGGTAATGTTTGACCTTTTTTGCAAGTTTACAATAAGTAAAAATTTATCAGAATGAGTATGAATATAACTCTCTTTTTGTCTTTGTGTTCGTCTCTCTTGATAGGTGAACATAGATGAGGATGGATGTGAAGATGAGATGGAATGGTTAATGGAAGAGACCGGGACGCCCAAGCGGGAGCCACAAGGGAACGGTCACATCACCACCAAGCCTGTCAGCGCAGATGCCCTGCGCTCCTTCTCCCTGGACGAGCAGGACAGTGAGGACGAGGTGCTCACAGTCCCAGGGGTCCGAATCGCCCCTTCATCGTCCACTTCCTCACGGCTGCAGTCAGCTTTGCTGAAATCAGAGAGCGATGAGGATCTGGTAGGGCTCCTGGTGGACACACGGAGCAGAAATAAGACCCGATACAGTGGCAGAAACCAGAGCAAACCTCAGCCAGACCCCGATGACAGCGACGAGGATCTACTTAAAGTCTGAGGGCACCGGGGGGCCCGAACTGAACTTTTGAATGTCTCTGCCACCACGCTCCAATTGTTTATTTGCTCCATTTTGGGTTTTCTAAAGGGAAATGTCTCTGTGAGCTGTTTACAAGACAGCTTTCAAGAGCAAGTTGGTCGATTCATCCACTAAATAGATTCAATGCCTTTCTGACAAAAGAAGTAGTTTTTGTCATTTGATCGTTTATTTGTTTGTGTGTTCTGTTTTCCATTGATTAAGATGAATTATGTACAACATCGTATGTGAATTTGATCTCCCACAAACTTACAGAAATGGACTATCTAGATTTTTTTTATTGTTATTTAAAGATTTTGGGGTACTGTTTTTTGTTAATTCACCAGCTCGCTGGAAAAATACACTGTTCTTTGAAATAATTATGGATGATTGTGGCAGATACAGTCAAAGATCTTTTCTAAACTACAAGCTGTAGCAGTATTTCATATATCTTGAGCCATGTAGCACCGAGAGGAGATTGATCTGCTTTGCCAAGTTCATATTTAAATCACAAACCTTCGAACATCATGCTTCGCATTTGCGTTCTGCATCGGCATTCACCTTTCGCTATAGCAGCGTTCATCTAAACCATAGCATCCATCTGTTATTGGGTGTTTTATGCAATGCTTTTCCCCTCTTGTTCTGACAAAACGCATAGAACACCGAGCACATACAGAGATTTAGTGCCATGAAGGAATGCCATTGCATGTATGACTGCTGCAGGCTTCCTTTAGAATCATAATTTCTTATCGCAATCAGAAGAAAAGTAAATTGCATTCATTGTGTCGTGTTTATTTGCTTTATTGTTTAGTAACACTTTACGATAAGATTGTTCATTAATGGGACATGGTGATGGTTTAAAAAATTGAGATGGGAGGAAAAATTGTATTTCAGTTCTTTTGCGTTCGCTCGTAAAACTTTTCAGTTCCCTCAAGAAACTTTGTTTGCTCACAAAACTATTGCATTTGATTGTAAAACGTTTGCGCTTCTCTAAGAAACGTTTTGTTCACTCAAAACTTTGTTTGATTGTATAACTTTTGCTCTATCCTTAGAGATTGCATTTGTAAAACTTTTGCGGTTCGTAGAGAAACTTCGTGTTCACTCACAAAACTCATAAATCATAAAACTTTTGCATTATCCTGAGAACCTTTGTTTGCTCACAGAACTATGTGATCGTAAAAATCCCAGATTTTTTTTTTCATTCGCTTGCATGTGTTTGAGCATAAAACTTCCCCAAAAAGCTCTTCCGTTTGCTCACAAAACTATTGTTTGTAAAAAAAAAAAAAAAATGTTGTTCCCCTGAGAAACTTTTGTAAAACTAGAGCATTTACTTGCAAAACATTTGCGTTTCCCCAAGAAATTGTCATTCACTAACAAAACTTTTGTGATGGAAATAATATGAGGTGGGAGGAAAAACAATTTTTTAATGCTTTTACAAGCGAGCGCAAATTTTCTCAGGGAAACGCGATAGTTTTGCGAGAGAACAAATGTTTTGCGAGCAAACGTTTACAAATAAAAAGGATTGCGAGAGAATGCAAAAGCGCTCAAATTTAGCCTCTAATCACCATTTCCCCATGGCTCCATGTGAACTAACAGTGAACAACAATTTGTTTTTTTTTACAGAATTTATTAATCTGTTAATTTTATAAATATTCTTTTACTTCTTATTTCATGTTTGTTTATGATACATTAACTAATGTTTATTTATACAACTTGAAATGTTGCAGATGTATTAGAATATGTAGAAATAACATTAGCCTAGGTTAATAAATTCTGTAAAAATATTGTTTATGGTTAGTTGGTGACACCAAATGCACTAATTAACATTAACAAATTGAACTTTATTGTCAAATTTAGCCTCTAATCACCATTTCCCCATGGCTCCGTGTGAACTAACAGTGAACAACAATTTGTTTTTTTTACAGAATTTATTAATCTGTTAATTTTATAAATATTATTTTACTTCTTATTTCATGTTTGTTTATGATACATTAACTAATGTTTATTTATACAACTTGAAATGTTGCAGATGTATTAGAATATGTAGAAATAACATTAGCCTAGGTTAATAAATTCTGTAAAAATATTGTTTATGGTTAGTTGGTGACACCAAATGCACTAATTAACATTAACAAATTGAACTTTATTGTAAATAGACCTATTCTTTTAATCGTTTTTTGTCGTTTTATTTTATGTTTTGCACAGAAGAAATCAGTGCCTATGAAAGAAGCCAAAAGTACAGCAGGTGGCAGAAAGCCTTTTACAAAGCACTTTTCCCGTTAGCGTGAACAGTTTCGTTTTCAGTTGCATTAACCGAATACAACACCTGCAAAAATAATGTGTTTTATTTGCTGAATCGGTTTCAGCTCATGTTCTTATGCTGACTAACTGGGTTTTAAGAACGATGCATACATTTACATAAGTTGTGTTGCAGGTTTGCTGTCAGCTCTCCAGAAAAGATTTACCAAAACATTCTTATCTCATGGCAGTGAAGGTACAACCGGACACTGGTCCTGTTTGGCAGCATGTGTACAGTGTTTTTCACTCCAGCTCTTTGCTCTAATATTTTGTCTCATAGGCTTGTATGGCTTGTATTCAGGGTATTCCTCACATATATGGTTGCCAAATAAAGCCACACCAGTTCTGTATATCCGTCATATCCGTCATCTCCTGAGACGGTACATCAAGATGTGTGAAAGCATGCCTGTTAGTACTTTGCACATTGGTGGACAGTTTGTTTTTTTTCCCCTGTCCTTTAGGGCAGAAAGTGGATGGTGCACTTGATAGCTAGGTCATCATGTGCTCCCGCTGTCCTTACTGAAAAATTGTCTGCGCCTGCTGTATGGGATATTGTACGATACAGTTCTCTGAAATACTTCAAGAGAAGGTCCTGATACAGTCTTTTTTTTTTTTTTATGCTTTGCTGAAATCAGAGAGCGATGAGGATCTGGTAGGGCTCCTGGTGGACACACGGAGCAGAAATAAGACCCGATACAGTGGCAGAAACCAGAGCAAACCTCAGCCAGACCCCGATGACAGCGACGAGGATCTACTTAAAGTCTGAGGGCACCGGGGGGCCCGAACTGAACTTTTGAATGTCTCTGCCACCACGCTCCAATTGTTTATTTGCTCCATTTTGGGTTTTCTAAAGGGAAATGTCTCTGTGAGCTGTTTACAAGACAGCTTTCAAGAGCAAGTTGGTCGATTCATCCACTAAATAGATTCAATGCCTTTCTGACAAAAGAAGTAGTTTTTGTCATTTGATCGTTTATTTGTTTGTGTGTTCTGTTTTCCATTGATTAAGATGAATTATGTACAACATCGTATGTGAATTTGATCTCCCACAAACTTACAGAAATGGACTATCTAGATTTTTTTTATTGTTATTTAAAGATTTTGGGGTACTGTTTTTTGTTAATTCACCAGCTCGCTGGAAAAATACACTGTTCTTTGAAATAATTATGGATGATTGTGGCAGATACAGTCAAAGATCTTTTCTAAACTACAAGCTGTAGCAGTATTTCATATATCTTGAGCCATGTAGCACCGAGAGGAGATTGATCTGCTTTGCCAAGTTCATATTTAAATCACAAACCTTCGAACATCATGCTTCGCATTTGCGTTCTGCATCGGCATTCACCTTTCGCTATAGCAGCGTTCATCTAAACCATAGCATCCATCTGTTATTGGGTGTTTTATGCAATGCTTTTCCCCTCTTGTTCTGACAAAACGCATAGAACACCGAGCACATACAGAGATTTAGTGCCATGAAGGAATGCCATTGCATGTATGACTGCTGCAGGCTTCCTTTAGAATCATAATTTCTTATCGCAATCAGAAGAAAAGTAAATTGCATTCATTGTGTCGTGTTTATTTGCTTTATTGTTTAGTAACACTTTACGATAAGATTGTTCATTAATGGGACATGGTGATGGTTTAAAAAATTGAGATGGGAGGAAAAATTGTATTTCAGTTCTTTTGCGTTCGCTCGTAAAACTTTTCAGTTCCCTCAAGAAACTTTGTTTGCTCACAAAACTATTGCATTTGATTGTAAAACGTTTGCGCTTCTCTAAGAAACGTTTTGTTCACTCAAAACTTTGTTTGATTGTATAACTTTTGCTCTATCCTTAGAGATTGCATTTGTAAAACTTTTGCGGTTCGTAGAGAAACTTCGTGTTCACTCACAAAACTCATAAATCATAAAACTTTTGCATTATCCTGAGAACCTTTGTTTGCTCACAGAACTATGTGATCGTAAAAATCCCAGATTTTTTTTTTCATTCGCTTGCATGTGTTTGAGCATAAAACTTCCCCAAAAAGCTCTTCCGTTTGCTCACAAAACTATTGTTTGTAAAAAAAAAAAAAAAATGTTGTTCCCCTGAGAAACTTTTGTAAAACTAGAGCATTTACTTGCAAAACATTTGCGTTTCCCCAAGAAATTGTCATTCACTAACAAAACTTTTGTGATGGAAATAATATGAGGTGGGAGGAAAAACAATTTTTTAATGCTTTTACAAGCGAGCGCAAATTTTCTCAGGGAAACGCGATAGTTTTGCGAGAGAACAAATGTTTTGCGAGCAAACGTTTACAAATAAAAAGGATTGCGAGAGAATGCAAAAGCGCTCAAATTTAGCCTCTAATCACCATTTCCCCATGGCTCCGTGTGAACTAACAGTGAACAACAATTTGTTTTTTTTTACAGAATTTATTAATCTGTTAATTTTATAAATATTCTTTTACTTCTTATTTCATGTTTGTTTATGATACATTAACTAATGTTTATTTATACAACTTGAAATGTTGCAGATGTATTAGAATATGTAGAAATAACATTAGCCTAGGTTAATAAATTCTGTAAAAATATTGTTTATGGTTAGTTGGTGACACCAAATGCACTAATTAACATTAACAAATTGAACTTTATTGTAAATAGACCTATTCTTTTAATCGTTTTTTGTCGTTTTATTTTATGTTTTGCACAGAAGAAATCAGTGCCTATGAAAGAAGCCAAAAGTACAGCAGGTGGCAGAAAGCCTTTTACAAAGCACTTTTCCCGTTAGCGTGAACAGTTTCGTTTTCAGTTGCATTAACCGAATACAACACCTGCAAAAATAATGTGTTTTATTTGCTGAATCGGTTTCAGCTCATGTTCTTATGCTGACTAACTGGGTTTTAAGAACGATGCATACATTTACATAAGTTGTGTTGCAGGTTTGCTGTCAGCTCTCCAGAAAAGATTTACCAAAACATTCTTATCTCATGGCAGTGAAGGTACAACCGGACACTGGTCCTGTTTGGCAGCATGTGTACAGTGTTTTTCACTCCAGCTCTTTGCTCTAATATTTTGTCTCATAGGCTTGTATTACCATCCGTCAGGGTATTCCTCACATATATGGTTGCCAAATAAAGCCACACCAGTTCTGTATATCCGTCATAACTCGCTGCTCCTGAGACGGTACATCAAGATGTGTGAAAGCATGCCTGTTAGTACTTTGCACATTGGTGGACAGTTTGTTTTTTTTCCCCTGTCCTTTAGGGCAGAAAGTGGATGGTGCACTTGATAGCTAGGTCATCATGTGCTCCCGCTGTCCTTACTGAAAAATTGTCTGCGCCTGCTGTATGGGATATTGTACGATACAGTTCTCTGAAATACTTCAAGAGAAGGTCCTGATACAGTCTTTTTTTTTTTTTTTTCTGATGGGGGCTTTAGCTCTTCTCAGACTGTATTTGTCATGTTTTGCGGCATCTTGTTTTGGGATTTAAATCGTTTATGCTGAGATATTATGGCATTATTTCAATAAAACTATCAGCTCCTCAGCATGCATTCTTATTAGGAGTTGTTCTTATTGTGTTTTATCTCACTACTTTAACTAGTCTGAAGGCTTGCTCAAGCAATTTGAATCAAACCAGTGTTTTAGTTTTTATTAATATTTTAATGTTTTTTTATAATAATAATATATTTTTATATAATGTTTTATATAATTTTGCTATGTAGTTTTGTCATTTTCATTATTTTTTTCATTTTTTAATATTACCATTTCGATTTAATTTATTTTTATTTCTGTTTAGTTTTAGTTTTAATTTATTTCCAGTTTTAGCAAACTAAATGACCATTAGAAATGTTGCCTTTGCATCGAACTGAAATAATTTGTTTATCATCAAATATTTGTTTTAATTTATATCAGCTTTATTTACATTTTTATATTTTAGGTTTTTAATTTTAGTTTAAGATTTAGTAATTTTGTGTTTGTGCCATTTTTAGTAAGGTTATTTCTTAATATTTAGGTTTAATTATTTTTCTTTCAGCTTTAGTTTTAGTTCAGTTTTATTTTTATTGATTGTTCCAGTTAGTAATTTTAGTGCTTCAAGATAATATTATGTAAATATTAGTTGTGCACTAATTTTCCATCTAATATTTATATTTTTATTTATATTATATATCTATATATTAATTTTGTTATGTGCTTTTGCTATTTAGTAGTCAAAATTACTATTTAGGTTTACTTTTTTATTTTTAGTTTAGTTCAGTTTTAGCTTTAATTTATTTCCAATTAGTAATTTTAATGCTTCAAATTATTTCATTTAGTTTTTAAGGAAACATTTTAAAAGTTTATTTAGTCTATAACATTTTTCATCTAATATTTTTATTTTAAATTATATTAATATGTGTAATGTGTTATGTGCTTTCGCCATTAAAGTCTAGACAAAAAGTTTACCCAGACTGTTTCAGGGTTTAGTTAAATTAGTAATCGTTTAGTAAGTCTTTGGCAGTGTGTTGATACAGTGTCAAAGACTACTTACTAAACCACTTACTGAACCACTATCATACAACACTTTCTGAGCAAAAATTATACAGTGACAAATTACGTAAAACAGGCTTCAGATGTCACTGTGGTTAAAATGTAACTTGGTGGCCCTTGTAATTGGTCAGTCACAGCACGAATATATCAAATTTCAACCTTCTCTGGACTTTTGGTCAGCCAGCTGTGGGTAAATACTCTGCCTCAACTTAGAGGACCTCTTTTTACAGCTGCGGACACCTTCAGGTCCTCCACCGCCAGGCATACAGTGACCATGACCACTTTCGAAGACATCTTAGAGGAGGCCGGCGCGTTCGGTCGGAGCCAGATGCGAATTGTGTCCATTTTCTGTTTGGTCTCCATACCGTTTTCTTTCGTATACGTAGGGATTGTTTTCCAGGGCTTCACCCCCGAACATTGGTGCCGTGACCCAGCCGTCAGTGGGATCCGGGAGAGATGCAGCTGGAGCCTTCAAGACGCACGCAGGGCGACTGTACCCTTGATGAACAGCTCCGTAGGGGTCACGTACAATCAGTGTCAGAGATTGGACATGGACTGGAACGCCACCGGTCTAACCTGCGACAATCCAGAAAGTGAGCTCATCCAGGCCCAGCTTTCTACTCTACCCATGACGGGCTGTACAGATGGCTGGGAGTACGACTATGAAGGGAGACAGTCGTTCGTGACTGAGGTGAGTAGTGGGATCACAAAACAAGCTTTTTTTCTTTTGGTAATAATTGTGTGAAGTGCAATGAGAGAACTAAATGTCTGATGTGAGACCTGTGTGTTGCAGTTTGATCTAGTGTGTGCAGATGCCTGGTATGTTGACATGTTCCAGGCCATGCTCAGTGTTGGTTTCTTAGTGGGCAGCATTGCAATTGGATACCTGGCAGACAAGTATGACCGATACTTACTATAGGGTTTCCCAATCCTCTTATTATTCTTATTATTATTTTAACAATTTTCAATGTTATACAGATGCATTTTGAGTTTTTAATGAGCATTTTTTTTAACTTGTTTTCCAGTATGTGTGTGTATATATACACAGTGGTACTTGAAAATCTGTGAACCCTTTAGAATTTTTAAAATTTCTGCATAAATATGACCCAAAAGATCATCAGATCCTGAAAAGTAGACAAAGAGAACCCAGTCAAACAAATTAGATTAAAAAATATATACTTTTTCATTTATTTATTCTAGAAAATGATCCAATATTACCTATGTGAGTGGCAAAAGTACATGAATCACTAGAATTAGCAGTTAATTTGAAGGTGAAGTTAAGAGTCAATACATTTTTACAGGTATGTTAATAATGCTGCAAATTCAGCTTTGCATCACAGATATAAATTACATTTTAGAATACATTCAAATAGAAAACAACTATTCTAAATTGTAATAAAATTCCACAATATTACTTTGTTTTTCTTTAATCAAATTGACGCAGTCTAAGAGACTTCTTTCAAAAACATAAAATCTTACTGACCCCAAACTTTTAAACAGTAGTGTACATCCTATCAGTCAGTCTACAAAATGAAAGACAAGTAATTGTTTTTATTGGCATGCACAAAGGGATTGTTTCAGTAGCCATCTAATTGATTCACGTTTGTTCTTATTTTTTCTTGCAGATACGGCAGAATGAAGAGTTTCCTAATGACCAACTTCTTCATCGGAGTAGCAGGGATTCTGGTGGCCACGGCCCCTAATTACATCGCCCTGCTGGTGTTCAGAGTGCTCTTTGGCTTTGGGGTGAAGGGCGGCTGGATGGTTGGATACGTGCTAAGTAACAAAACGTTTTCAAATGATTAAATCACACTTATGTTTCTGATAAGTATGTTTGTTTCAGCTCCGATGCAGTGGTATTGCATTAAACGTTTACTAGCATCCTTGACATTTCAGATATCCTCATGTTCCATTATCTCTTGTTTCCTGGCTGCAGTCACAGAGCTGGTTGGAGTGGAATACAGGAGAACGGTGGGAGTGACCTATCAGATGTTCTTCAGCCTGGGCATTCTCATCCTTCCTCTCTTAGCGTACTTCATACCAAACTGGCGCTGGCTACAGGTGGTCTTCACCATACCTTACATCTGCTTCCTGACGTACTATTGGTAAGGGCCTGTACACGGGTGCATGATGTGCCATACAGATGGAGGCTTCAGAAGGCTACACTTGTGTTTTCCAGATTTATGTGCAAATTTGTATGGGAATATTGTGTCCTTTTATAATCCCCACCAACCCACCTTCATACAACTTGTTTTCTATCTATTTCTTACAAGATTTAAATGAAAAGTTTAGATTAAATATAAATTAGGATACAAATACTGTTGTATTTTACCCAGACAGACCTTCGATATCACATCTTCAAAATACACAATTAAAAAAAAAAAAAAGAGATTAATACTTTTATTCAGCAAGGCTGCTCAGAAGTGTCAGTGAAGGCATTTATAATGTTACAAAAGATTTTGTGTTAAAAATAAATGCTGAAAACAATCTATCGGGGTTTCCACAAAATATTATTATATGTATTTCCACATAATATGAAATAATTAGCAATGTTTTCAACATTGATCATAAAAAGAAATGTTTCACGAGCAGCAAATGAGCATATTAGAATGATTTCTGAAGGATCATGTGACACTAGACTGGAGTAATGATGCTGAAAATTCAGCTTTGCATCACAGGAATAAAATACATTTAAAAATATATTAAAATAGAAAACAGTTGTTTCAGATTGTAATTATATTTTACAAAATTACTATTTTCACTGTATTTTCTTTATCAAATAATGGCAGCTTCGGTGAGCCTAAGAGACTTCTTTTAAAAATATATTTTGAACGGTATATATCTGTTTGATATGTGCATTTCCATCTAAACAACATTATAACATTTTACCATTTGTCACTATTACTCTCTCAAACCATGTATGATTTCAGGATGACCACAAAGAATCAGGGTTTAAATACATTTAGGATATTTACATGTAGTTATTTATTTATTTATTATTTTTTACACTATGTTGGATAAATGTAGCAATATTGCGTTATTTAAATACACTCTGAATTTCAGGTTTATCCCCGAATCACCAAGATGGCTCCTTAGCCAAAACAAGAGAAACGAAGCACTAGAGATCACAAAAGCAATAGCCAAGGAGAACAAAAAGACACTGTCCAAGAATACTGAGGTACAAGGTTTACATTACAACGATGAGCATAAAATAACACTGAATGCCCAAATGTCCCTTAAACATACAAATTCATCCATCAGACACTGACTGATGAAAATACAGACTCAATCTCGACTGCGTCTTTCATGGACCTGTTCAAGACTTCCAAATTGAGAAAATTCACATTCATCCTGAGCTTCAACTGGTACGTCAGATCCGAAACGCTAGGTTAAAGCTGCAGTCCGTAACTTTTTTTTTTGGTTAAAAATGATCCGAAATCAATATTTGAGCAAGTACATAACCAGCCAGTGTTCAAT